TCAGAACTGACTCGATGGCACTTTAAAATAATCACAATGTATATCCCTGGTAAGACCTATTTTATGTGACCTGCCTTGAATGCATTGAAAGAATTAGTCCAAGATCTTATTGTTGTGTTGTTAAGTGCCTTCAAGTGGTTTCAAACTCTTAGATACCCTTTACAAGGTTTCTGGAGCTTTAAAAAAAATCTTCGAGGGACTAGAATGTCTTATCATTTTCCCTTGGAGTGACTGGTGGGTTCAAACTGTGGACCTTGTAGTTCACAGTCCAATTCTAATTATATGGAGCCATGGTACTCTAACAAAGATGCATATTGCTAATAATTAATCAAAATGCCTACCATTGCATTGCAGTGTTGCTTTTCATATTAAAGCTTAGTAATAACTTAAGTGTCAATTGAAGGGACAGGAAAATTATTCCATACAAATATAATGCAGCTTATGAAAGGATTTTTTGAAGATTTTCCAATGGTATGAAAATGACTTTGATAAAATGTTAAATTGAAAAATGAATTTCATAGGCTGAATATTATATTTGTATACACAACTTCTTTCATCCTCACCCTATTTGTTTTAGGACAAATGTATAAACTGGACTAGATTAATGCAAAGCATAAATATCATGAGGTAGGGGGGGGAAAGAGCAATTTTTTTTTTAGTTTTTTTCAAAAATGACAGTTGGCTTCATGGACTAGGACACAAAGCAAAGGCAAAGATGGGAAAAACAATCTAATCTCTTCTCTCCATCTCTTAATAAATAAATACAACATTGTAGAGATATTACTAGGGTATTTCTTGAGGAAGGAAACTTTGGAGTAGAAACAAACGCAATCAAATGTTTTCCCTATCCTTCAACTGATTTTAGCAAGAAGAAAGATAAGTACATAAAGAAATACGAGTAAAAGCAAGGAATGAGTTGGATATCTATTTTTCTCTACCATGGCCAGAAAGCAGTACTATCCCTGCTTTCAAAGTAGGTAGCAGCTTTTATTGTTTTCAGTTCTAAAGTTAAAAAGACACATTGTTGATTCCCCAATGAATAGTGATTGGAAACTGAGTGATTTGGTACTCACAGGTATTCAGCAATGTTTAGAGCGTTGATAGCATGCTGGGTTACATGTTGTGCTATTAATCAGCGTGTCAGAGTTTTGAATCCATCAGCCACTCCACATAAGGAGAAAAATGAGTCTTTCTCCTTCTGTAAAGACTGACAGCTTGAAATGTTATGTGGGTTCATTATGAGTTGGAACCAACTCAATGGCAAACAACAAAAGACATTTTGTTATCGTAACAAGGAGGTGGGTTGTTATTTGCATTTAGTGGGTGGTTGCCAGTGATGCTACTAAATACCCTGCAATGCTCAGGACGTCTCCCAAACCAACAATAAAGAATGATCTTGTCCAAATACTGATAATCTAAAAGCAAATAAATTCTGTCTTAGATCAGCATTTCAAGCTGTTTTGTGCACTTCAAATAATTTTCTGCTCTGCTTCAGAGGTAGTTGTCGTATCTTTCATGCCATGAGCAGAGTGGAGAACACTTTACTACCATCTCTGCTGTTAAGAAGATATTCAAGAGAACCTCCAAGTATGTGGTCTTTACCCATTCTGTAGGGAGAGCTTGTTTGAGAGGAAAAAGTGGAAACAAGAATATTTACATTGTTTTATATTCTCATTTATGACGGAATACTTGGTATGCAGATAAAAGTGTTCCCATTTACCTTTCCAGATTGTCTGTTAATAGTCAAAGATAAAGTTGTTTCATAAAGGGGTGATCCAAACATGCATTTCCTTAAAACACTCTCTAAGGAAGAGAGGGCTACAAAATCAATTAAAAAGAATCTGTTTAATCCTACACCCGCCCCCTCATGAAGTCCCCATTTTTCCACATACTGAATTACCTACATGAAAAATCTAAAAACTTCATATTGCAAAACACATCATTCAAGTACATTTCTAAACACCAGACTATAATTCAAACCACCTACCAGTAGGATAGACATAGCTTCCCCTTTCTGAAGACGCTCTGATGTAAAATGTTACAGGTTTTATGTTTTTTCTTTGGGTGTCCCTGGGGCCATTTTCCTTAAGTTCACTGAACAAAACACTAATC